AATTCTTCTTCATACTCGTGAGTATATATTTACACTTTTATTACTAAATTTGTTTTCTGCTGCACATAGAAGTGCCCTCTTGTATTCTTCTGCTGAATTTCAGATATCCCTCTATCTGTGGAGGAGCTGCTCTAAGGACTTTGTGGTAACTTAGGATCATTTTATGAATATATTCAGCGTTGTGCTTCCACTAGGCAAACTAGGCAGTCACCAAGGGCACACTGTCAGGTGGGCATCTGGGCACAGCACAGGCTGGCATTCCCTCTATATGGAATGCCACCACATCATCAAAGATCTTTCAGCTGAGGGCATGGGTGGAAGAGGGGAGGAAGAGAGGACAGATGGAGCGGCCGGGTGTCTGGGGCCAGTGTAGCAGCTGAGCTGCCGCTCCATCCAGTGCTCCTCTCAGACTCAGTCCCTTACTGCAAGCTGGCTGATCACTGTAGAGTATAAGCCCTTCTCTTCCCATTCAACAGTGGAGGCAGAGCTGCGCCTGTTCAGGAAGGCAATGTCTCTCTGATGCCTCGTGTCTGTGTGACCCAGTGTGGCCATCCATCACATGGGCAATGTGTCAGTGAATGATGACATCCTCATGATTCCACAGCCTGCTCTTCTAGTGCCTGTTGGGCCTGCTGATGTGTGTCAGTGTTGGTGGTGGTGTGTTGTGTCGGATCTGTCACTGTGTGGGATCACTCAGTTCAGGTATCCTGTGTGTGTGTGTGTGTGGGGGGGGGGGGGGGGGGGGGTTGGTGCTGCCTACTGCCACAGTGTTTTATCTCCCACCATTGCCTGGAGAATTCTAGCCTGGGATCTGTCACAATGTGGATTCATCATCCTCTACTCACTGCAACTTCCAGCCACCTGTCACCCTGCCACTGCCAGCCACAGAAACAGTTCATTTGTGACACTGAATTTCTCTTTAATATTGGTGCTGGTGGCATCTTATGGCACTTATTTTGGCAAATTAAAAGAAATTTAGCAGTTTCATGTTTTATTTATTTATTATTTTCTGTTTTTAATTTTTTTTAGTAATTTTTTTTTTTTTTGGGGGGGGCGCGGGGGGGGGGGGGGGGGGGGGGCGCAAGTAGCTGGTCTTGCCTAGGGCACAAGATAGTTTAGCACCGACCCTGAATATATGCCTTACTATGTTTGGCTGCCGTGGGGCTAACTAGTTTTTTCGCACAATGATAAATAACTATTACTGAACAGGATGCCTTGTACAACATAATGCATCAGTGAATACAGGGCTTCCTCTAGTTGAGATGGAGAGTCAGGTATGACCTAAAGATCTCCTCATCAGAGGAAGCCTTGTATTCACTGACAAGTCACAATGAACCTGGAGTTAGACTTTAAATAAATATAATAGTATATTCTCATGCACAATCAGCGCTAAAGTTCAAAGATTTTCTCCAAAGAATAAATACAATGTTGCAAAGTCCAAAGTCTTTCTGTGTAACTGTGCTTTATTCATCACAGAAAGGCCCCTTTCACAGGGGCCGGAATTAATTTTATTCTGCTTGTTCAGCAGGGGATCTGTCAGCTGATTCCCCACTAAGCAGAGCAGAGCAGGCGGATGACAGGTCCGTGTCCATTCCGCTTATGCAGTGCAAACATGGACCCAGCCCACTCTACTCTACAAGGAGCTATATGTAAACAGACTGGCTGTCCGTTTACACCCAACTGCCCTTCGTTCCGATCCACTAGACTGAAGGGAAATGGATTCCCTTCAATTTTTTTTTTTTCTGGATTGTATTGGAGGTAGATGGGTGAAAACTGATACAAGTCCACTTACATCTGCCATATCCAATCCATAAAAGAGAATAGAGGGTCCGGTGGGGTCTGCCTGTCCTTTTTTCAGTCAGACCCGATTGGACCCTCCATTCTCCATCGGACCTCTAGTGTGAAAGGAGCCTAAGAAGGCTCTTGAAAATGGATCCACCACCCAACACTGCATTTGTTCTGAACTCAAATGTGCTCCAGCTGTGTTACCCACCACCACTTTTGGACAGGCTCACTCACTAGATGGGATTGTGGACTTTACAACTTCGTATTTAATATTTGTAGCACAAAAGTGCTGGTTGTGTATATGCGTGTGTGAAAAGAGCCTTCTGATTCCTCTCAACATCCTCTGCACCTGTTTCCGCCTACAGAACTCTTGCTGAATTTAGTCACAAATGTCCATTGGAGGCCAGAAGAGGGAAGCAAAAGCAAACGTTATCAAACTTATCACATCTGAGCATTTTGAGACTTGATGATCCCCTTACCCTGCACGGCCAACATGGGTGTAATGGTAAATACAAGCCTGCCTGTTAGTACCCATCTTTCTGGTTCCTTTATGTCAAGGAGAATGTTAAGTAAAGACCTTATACAGGGCCCAAGGTTGACAACCACATCTTTACTTTTCCAGCATGTTGAATGACAATCTCCTTTCCGTAGTGCCAAGCAGAAGCTCTCTGGCAACTCTAAGTGGGACATCAATTGAGCAGTTTGAAAAAAAAAATTTTTCCTCTTGAAATAAACAGTTCCAACAAAACTTTCTTTCTACTCCATCCCAATGACACAATAATTGACTAAGCCAAATATTGGTGTTTTTAAAGTACTAATGGGTTCCAGAATAGGGGGTCTGAATCACTTTTAAGGCCTGCCACAGGCATGGGTGGTTCATAACAGAAACTATGTGACAATACCATATCAAAGATTGATTGCCCAGTTTTGAAAACATCCTATTTCTACTGTTTCCTCCAAGACAAGCTGGTTCTGGAACAGTGCCTTTGTCTCCCTTTTCATCAATCAATTGAGTTATGCTCTACTACTAAAATAGTGAAACCATTTTAAAATAAACACACAAATTTAGAGTTCAATTGAGTTCTCAGTTTAAACCAACTAAATACAATCCAGAGCATCAAAACAAAGGGTGTTCAATGGTTTAAAGTTTGTTTTTTCTTTAAACCAGACACAGCATGAGTAGAAATGCCTTTCCTTTGCCAATGTGCTGTAGAGAAGGACCCATTCAGGGGAAGCAGTGGTCTCTTTGCAGAGGTCCGACATGCCCCCTTCTAAGCCAGACTTATAGCTCTACCTTCAGCAAAGCTCATGCTAATTGGAGAGTCCTGGCTCTGTCTCAGCAGGGGGAATGTCAAGAATCTGCAAAGAGGCCACTGCTTCCCCATAGAGAGCAATGGTACCACTCTTCAGCATGCTGGCAGGACACTGGATTTTCTACTCTGTGGCTGTTATTTTAAAGAAAAAACAAATTGTAACACTTTGAACATCGCTTTTTTTTATGTACCTGGAATGTATTTAGCTAATTTAAACAATGTTTAATTGGGCTTTAACACATTGCAGCTTACCAGTCCTTAGATGGACTGGCTGCATTCGTTTTTTATGTTTCAGGCTACGTGCAGAAAATGCTTGTTGATCTTGCTTGAAATGCAGTGTCAGTGTCACTTACTGTGAGCTGGGCTGAAAGCAAAAAGAGTGTGTGTTTAAACTGCTGATTGCCCCAATCCTAATGTAATGGACATGAACAAAATCAGACATATTTTAAGGCCAGCCTGTGATTATTTGCAAGGATAACAGGCGACACCATATCTAGATTTTTTTTTTGGTTATGGGTTTAGATACTCTTTAAAAGATTCTGCAAACATTGAGCTCCAATGTCACCCGCTGTTTAATTTCCAGTGTGATTTTGCACCACCCTCTGCAGTCTGTTTTCATTGCCCAATGGCCAGTTACCTCCCCAATTTACCAATCTGCTGAATATAATGGACATCTGCCCTTTAAAACAACAGCTCCCCCCACAAAGTGAGGCAGCGAGAAGTATTGCACCCTGGAGATGGCACTTTAACATTAATCATTTTACTTTTTTTCAGCAGAGGGACTGCACTGCTGTAATTTATATTTTGCAGGAAGTCAACGCCTTCCTCAGAGTTCTAATCTAACAGCTTAATAATACATTTCAATTCAAAGTGTTATCAACCTGTCAAACCAATCATGTGCTCAAGGCACCCCGCTGCTTTAATTATATAAATATTATCCTGAGAAGGCTATGAGGAACAAGTCACTGAGATAAATATTACACTCCAGCAGCACACACATATCTCAGTGGGATACTGAACTTTTACATAGACATTTCCAGAACCTGTGAATTAAAGAAGCAAGCAAAACTACTATATCCCATGGACAATGTGCAGCCGGGTGTAACCTGTAACTTCATCTCTATGTTAACTGGTAATTATGGGAAATAATGCAAAAGTAGCATCCGGGGTGGTTCACTATCTTTATCCTCTTTTAGGAAAGTCATGGCTTTGACTATTCCCTCTCTATGAGGGAATCTTTGAAATTATTATTATGGAGGGACAATAGCATAGGAACTGTATAAACTATACAATTTCAGGAAGTATGCATTCTGAGTTATTGTTATAACATAAACCTAAAAAGTAATTTTGTTTAATGAGATATTTGGTTTGATTCTTGTTAGCACATGAACTGATTGGCTTCTTATGCTGCTTCTCACACTCCATACCTGCTGTACAAGGCTGATATCAGGTCAGATTTAGGAAATTACACTGCTTATAATTAAGGCTCCATGCACACGGGATGTTTTGATAATGTTGAAACGTTAGCTGTGTCATAAACATGAGTTTTTCTGCTCATTTTTAGCATTTTTGCATTAGCGTTTAGTGGCGTTTTTTCCGCGTTTTGCATTTTTAGCATTTTTTGGCCAAAAAAAGTCTAAAATGCATTTTTGTGGCGTTTTACAGCATTCTATCGTGTTTTAGCATGTTTTGCTGCGTTTTCAGCGTTAGGGCGTTTTTACAGCTAAAAAACTCCTCTAGAAACCCACTAGTCCTGAGTTTTTTTTCCAGCCAATAAACGTCCCTGCCAAAATATGTGGATTACAGTCTGTGTGTATGGACACATAGGATAACATGCTGGGGGGTTTACTAGCTGTAGAAAAAAACAGCCGCTGTAAAAATGTCCAGTGGGCACGAGGACTTTAACCTCCCTGGCGGTATTCCCGAGTGTAGCTCGGGGTAAAGTTTCAGTACCACAAGCGATAACCCCGAGCTACACTCGGGAATACCATGCGGCGCTGCTCCGCGATCCCTCGATCACTTACCTTGTCCTGCGCTCCTGCAGTGTCCCCGGCAATGTAATCCGGTGGATGCCGGCATCTGTCATCTGGGTTCCGTTCCCTGCGATGTCAGGACGTACGGGGGACGGAAAGGCGGGAAATTTGAAAATAACAAAAAGTGACATTCACTAAAATCACTAAAATCACATAGTAAAACATTACTGTATCAAACCATTTCACATACATTTTGCCCCTAGTGCTTTGTCCTGTGCCCTGCCTGCATTTTTACTGTTCTTTCTGCCTGGAAACTGAGAAACATCCATGGCGTCCAAAAAGCGTCCCTTTAGGTCAAAAGTGGTTTTAGACCGGCTAGAGAACAGCGATAGTAAATCAGAACTACTTGCAGAATTGAGTGATAATGATTTGTGGGGAATTCCTCATCAGACACTGAAAACAATTTTGCGACTTTGCTCAGTGATGTGCAAACTTGGCGCTATATTTCAAATTTCAGTGTTTTTAGTTTGATTATATTATTGAATTAAATTTATTATTATTATATTTTTTTGTATGATTATTTATTAAATTATAATTTATGATTTCGTGTTTCAAGTTTTATCCTACCCGGGATGTTTACTAGACTCTTGTTCAGACAGATTTCAGTGAGTTATTTCTAAAAATTACAGGCCTACAATATAAAACGCCAATTTCCATGCAAAATAATGGTACCGCTTTCAGCACCAAAAATCAGAAATAATCATACCGCCAGGGAGGTTAAAAAATGCATTTATTTGGATATTAATGATTGCAGAGCTGCATTAATTTGTGTTTTTTTTTTTTTTAAATATCTTCTTCGTTCAGCTTTAACTGTCAGCATATGTACATTAACAAGGGTCTAATTAGCTTCCTGTGTCTTGCCTCTCCCTCTCCCACAGTGCTGCTATGCAGCTACAGATTCTAACTCAAAATACATTTTTATCAGCTTTAGTCCTTGTGCACACTGGATGTTTTTACAGCGGCTGTTTTTCGCTTTTGACGTTTTTTTCTACAGCTAGTAAATCCCCCCATCATGTTATCCTATGTGTCCATGCACACATAGGCTGTTTTGGCTGGAAAAAAACCCCCAGAACTAGTGGGTTTCTAGAGGAGGTTTTTATCTGTGAAAACACTCTAAGCCCTCATATACACGGAACATTTTGATAACGCTGGTAACGTTAGCTGTGTAAAGTCATGTTTAAAAACGTGAAATTTTCCACATTAGCGCGTAGCTGCGTTTTACAGCGTTTTTCAGTGTTAGAGCATTTTTACAGCTAAAAAAACTCCTCTAGAAACCCACTAGTCCTCAGGTTTTTTCCAACCAAAAAACATTGATCATAGTCTGTGTGACACATAGGATAACATGCTGGGGGGTTTAGGCTAGGTTCACATATGTGCGGGTGGTGCCTCTGCAGATCCGCATAAAAAAATCCGTGCAGCCGCACCACCCACACAGAAGACTGTGGACCCGCGGGCGGGTGCCATTAATTCTAATGACACGACGCCCACACAGGAAATCGTGGTTCCCATGCAGGCTGTGGTTTCCAAAGAAGTGCAGGGACTTATTTATTTCAGGTACTTATATAGCGCTGTCAATTTATGCAGCACTTTTATATATATATTGTACATTCACATCAGTCCCTAACCCTCAAGGGGCATACAATCTAAGGTCCCTAACTCACATTCATATATACACATACTAGGGCCAATTTGGACAGGAATCAATTCACCTACTAGCATGTCTTTGGAGTGGAAAAAGACTAAGAAAAGAAAACTAACGCAGCCTCCACATCTAATGATTGGTAAGCTGCAATATATTACATTTTTGGTTTGGGGTTAAATGCCTCTTTAACCGCTTCCTGACAGCCCTATAGCAGAAGTACTGCTACAGGATTGCAGGGCTGTGCAAAATCACGTGTATATACGTGATTTTGCATTTCTGGTGGGGGGGCGCACGTACCGCCCTGCCCACACCACCATTGGCGATCACCAGGTCCCAATTGGACATTCCCCGCCAGCACCTGGTGATCGCCGAGTATCACTGACACTGTAAACAACACAGGTCTCTCTCCTGCCAGCAGTGACATGCTGCTGTATTTTTCTCTGCACAGAGAAATACAGAGCAGCATGTTTCCCTAGTAAAACACACACAGCACACAGTTAACCCTTTGATCGCCTTAGATTTTATTTATTTTTATTTTATTTATTTTTTATTTATTTCAGTTACTTTTATAGCGCCGTCAATTTACGCAACTCTTTACATATATATTGTACATTCATATCAGTCCCTAACCCTCAAGGGGCGTACAATCTAAGGTCCCTAACTCACATTCATATACAAGGACCAATTTAGACAGGATCCAATTAATCTCCCAGCATGTCTTTGGAGTGTAGTGTGGGAGGAAACCGGAGTACCCAGAGGAAACCCACGCAGGCACAGGGAGAACATACAAACTCCAGGCAGGAGGTCTTAACAGCTTCCTGCCCAGTGCCATTAGTACAGTGTCATCAGCACTGATCACTGTATTAGTGTCAATGGTATGTCAGTGGCTGTTAGGCAGTCCCCCCCCAGTGTCAGAATGTCGCCGCAGTCCCTCGATAGGTCGCTGATCGCCGCCATTACTAGTATAAAAAAAAATTCCAGTATATACACCTCAATTTGTAGATGCTATAACTTTCACGTAAACCAATTAATTTGCACGTATTGGGATTTTATTTAGCAAAGACATGTAGCAGAATACATTTTGGTCTAAATTTATAAAGAAATTTGATTTTTGATTTTTTTTTATTGGATATGTTTTATAGCAAAAAGTCAAAAATATTGTTTTATTTTTTTCAAAATTGTCATTCTTTTTTTGTTTATAGCGTAAAATAATTAAAAACCGCACAGGCAATCAAATACCACCAAAAGAAAGCTCTATTTGTGGGAAAACAAGGATATACATTTAATTTATGTACAGTGTTGCATGACCGCGCAATTGTCAGTTAAAGCAACGCAGTGCCCAATTGTCAGTTAAAGTAACACAGTGACGTATCGCAAAAAATGGCCTGGCCAGAAAGGGGGGGTAAATCCTCTGGAAGTAGTTAATGCACACCCTAGGCACTGGCGCATGGACACCTCTATATGATCATACAATCCTGCCTTCTGCCTATTAGGCCCCTTTCTCATGAGATAGTCTGTTATGATCAGCAGGGGATCTTTCCTCTGATCCCCTGCTGATTAGAGTGGAAGGAGCTGATGACCTGTATGTGTCTGCTCAGTTTATGCAGAGCAGACGCAGACGGTGCCCACTCTGCTCTATGGGCAGCCGGGAGCAAACCGAATCAGCTGTCCATTTACACCCGACTTCCCTCCGATCCACTTAGATCAGTGGTTCTCAACCTTCCTAATGCCGTGACCCCTTAATACAGTTCCTCATGTTGTGGTGACCCCAACCATAAAATTATTTACCCAGTAATTATAATTCATGAGTGTCGTTTTACCTCCAATACTGCTGCTTTCAACACAGTAGCTGCTTTTAACAGAGTAGCTGCTTTCAACACAGCAGCTGCTTTCTACACAGTAGCTGCTCTTTACACATCGGAAATATGTGTTTTCTGATGGTCTTAGGGGACCCCTGTGAAAGGGTCATTCGACCCCCAAAGGGGTCGCGACCCACAGGTTGAGAACCACTGACTTAAATGGAGGGGGACGGATCCTCTTTCATCTTTTTGTAGGGGACCGGATTGGATTGGAGATAGGCGGGCGTAATAGGCCACAAATCTGTTTACACCCTCTGGTCCAAAAGGATGAATGAAGAATCCCAGCAGGCCCGCCTGAAGAAACTGACAGGCGGACATGTTCGGACCCTTTCTGAAAAAGTGGCCTTTTTCAGTCTGTAAGTTTGGCAACGTCTACTGCCATCAGAGCCGTCTAACCCAGATGTTGATTCTCTGCAGTAAAAATCCTATTTTTAATAGAGATGTATTTAGGCTCCATTCACATCTGAGCATAGCGGTTTTCAGCATTTTTTACCGCAATTTTTGTACGTTTTTATTCAGCGTTTTTAGCTGTTTTTGAGTCTTGGTGTTCGAGCTTCATACTACAAAATTCTCAGTTGTGAATGCAGCCTTAAAGCTTCAGTATTGTTACTGCTTTATTTCTGTGAGAAATACTTACACAAAGAGAATAACACAATGTTCTTGCTAACATTATTTAGAACGTTTTCATTTAATATTAAGTTTTTTTTTTTTTTTGGTTTTTTTTTTTTTACAGTTTCTGCTCTGTTTTTACAGACCTGAAAATGCACTTTGAACAGTAGCACCAAGGGGTCTGAAATCTTTTACACTTTGCTTTTGATGCGTTGCATTGGCACGGTGTATTCCTATGGGAGTATGGCATTGTTCATGGATATTTTTATACAGATAACATTTTGCACCTTTCTTCCTTATTAAAGTGTACAGTATCTGTCACACACGGACAGCATAGCAGCCATTTTGTGACCTAAGCTACCACAGTATGTGAACAGGGACATTTCATTCTTGTTTTGATATGTTCAACACTTTCTTTAAAGCTGCCCTGCAGGATACCAGTTAACTACATACGTTGGAGCCGTTTTATCAACCAAAGGATTTTATTGTTTGTCCATCCATCCAGTTTTCTGATTTACAAAGCTCTGCCTTTCAGCATAGCCCTTTATAGCAGGGTAGGGGACCTGATCTTCTCTGTTGCAGTCAAACAACACTTATGGGTCTTGTCCCTCCCCCAGCAAAGAAGCAGTAGACTGATGAGCTCAGAATGGAAAAAAAATTAAAATAAGGAGTCCCTTCAATAAAAGAGTTTGTATACTCACCTCTCTAGCACTCAATGTCTCTTTCCTTAGCTCTGTTTCAGCACTGCATCCTCCATAAGATTTTTTGGCATTTAGCCATGCCATGGTTCACTCTTTAGAACCTTACATCACTGTTGAGTCCTGTAGTGACATAGGAGCCAGAGGATGGAATAGCAGTGAGCCTGATGAAGGCTGAAGCACAACAACCAAGTGAGACATGGACCACTAGATAGGTTCGTATATAACCTCTAATACAAGAGATTTTTATGGGGATGTTTTAAACCTTACAGGGTTGCAATAAGTAGGACGCAAATGCCCAACTATTCAACTTTGACAGGGTCACATTAATGTGGCTAGCAGTGGGTCACAACTGCCTTTCAACTTCCTCAGGTCTCATGATAA